TCTTCATCCACTACGTACTATTGCTCATTGAACTTCACAAAGAAGCTAAGAAGTTACACATATTTCTCTAGGCATATGAAGGAAAGTATTAATGGAAGATGTGGGGGAAGTTGTGTCAGTAAGGCCAGCCCCCAGTGGAACCCAGTTCTCCATGTGTCTGACCTAGGGCTTTAGTTAGGAAGTCATATTTCCTTAAACAGAGCATATATATTCTGAAGAAATGGAGAGAAGCATTTTTGAAAAAAATAGGGGCAAATATAGGAGCTGAGTACTCCAACCTCATAGAGATACTGTATGTTCGCTTGAAGTTTTCTGCACCTTTTCACCTTGGATGACCAAAGTCACCTAACATCCCTCCATAAGAAAACAATTATGCTGCACACAGAGTCATTAGGCAATACCCAACCCTGGCTTTACAGAGATTGTTACATTGCAAAACTGGAAAATGCCCTAAGTCATTCTATTTTTGTGAACAGTAGAACTTTTAGTTAGAAATTAAATTAAACTTTGACATTTTAGAAAAATATTTCTTCCCTATTTTTGGTGGAAACTACACTGGGAACTCACTGTCTTTGGTCCTTTCTGAAGTGCTTACTGCCTTCTTAAAGGCATTCTTTGGGACTGAACACCAGCTTTCCATCACGATGACCAATAGAAGTCAATAAAGTGTAAACAGGGCCAGTCAGATAGACTAATACGCACGGTGAAGGAGATGCAGTGGAATAAGTTCTTCCCCTCCACCAGTTCGGTGAAGAGGCTCCTGTTCCCCTGGAGAGACTCCAAAGTAACAATGACTGTCACTGTCTCGTTCAGGTGGCTCAGAAGGAGGCAGCCCTTCTCAGGGCTCTCGGTGTAGAGCAGGGAGGGGACCAGCACCATGTACTGCCTGGGAAAGGAAGACAGACAAATCAGAGAAAAACCGATAACAGCAAGGATTTTTATCCATCGGTGTATTTTCTATATCAATATGCATTTATTGTTGTGATCAACTCTACACCAAGAGTCAATGGATCAAGAACCATGAGGTGGAGATCTTGCACTGATTGGCACAGAATTGTATCTTTTATCAATCAGTTCCACCTCAGCCTCAGTCATTTTACATTTTTTTGGCTTCAAAGATAGTACAACTTCATGGGCATTCTTTGCTTTAAAAAAACCTTAATATATGAGGCCAAGATTAGGCATGGTGGTTAAGGTGCTGGATTCCATTTGGCTGACTGTGGTTCGAGTCCCAGACCCAATGTCTTGAAAATCACATGAGGCACATGAGTGTGTGTCCAAAATCCAGAGAGGAGAGTGGAGAAGGGATTGAGGCATGGCCATCTGCCTGGGGGGTGATTTCTCACATTCCCCCTCTCTGTCTCAGCCTCTCTCTCTCTCTCCAGCAAGTACATGTGCCCTATGGCAAAAAAAAAAAATCTTTTTTAAAAAATTATATTATTTAACTTTATTCATTTAATTCACCTATTTTAATTTGACTGGAGAGGGACAGAATGAGAGAAAGAGAGAGCCAGAGAGTGAGAAAAAGTGAGAAAGCAAACTGCCAGGTCTGGGACTCGAACTGTGGTCTCCATGTGGGAGTCCAGCAATCCATCCACCATGCTACCTGCCGGCCCCAGGCAAAAAAATCTTTAAAAAAAAACCCCAAATCAATAAAACCTTAATATCTGGGGGCTAGCAGGTGGTGTGCTGGATCTCAGTTGGCTGATTCTGTGGTTCAAACCTCACACCTGGCAGCTTGAAGAACATGCTGGGCACCTGTACATGTGTGCCCAAGATCCTGAGAGGAGAATGGAAGAGAAAGGATTGTGGCATGGCCATCCCTCCCTGAGGGGTGATTTCTTACTTTCCCTCTCTCTGTCTCTTTCTTTTTCTCCTGTGAGTGCACATGCCTTATGGCAAACAGAAAAGAAGACATAAACCCTTAATATCTGAACTATTGTATGTAAAAATATATTCATAGAAGTACACATTGCACACACACACACACACACACATATATATGTATACACACACACATAGAATAAATTGGGAGTGATTATCCACTTATCAAAGAACTTCCACTATAATCTGTCTAAGTAAACATCACTTGTACAAGAACACTGTGACTACATTTACACAAATTCACCTGAGGGAACTTTGGTGAGTGTATATCATTGCACAAAATAGCCCTGGTGTACATTACAAAAATAATTTTAAAAGAATTATTTACAAAATTTTGTTTATCATTATTTAAAAAATTTTGCTATATGCCACATGCACTGCCAGAGAGAAAGAGAGACAGAGGGAACGTGAGAAAGCAAGCTGCCAGGTCCAGGATTTGAACCGCATAGGAGTTGGCAGTGTGAAGTCCAATGCCTTAACCACCACACTACCTGTTGGTCCCAAAATAATGTTCTTAATAACAGCAGTTTTGGAAAAAGAATGTATTTCCTTTTCTTGGCTTCTTAGTCAAAATCAATACTTTTTATTATCAGGAAGTTTTAAATTTTGTCAATAATCAACATACATGCCATGTCCCCATACTACACAAACACACTATATTCCATTATTATTTCCCATCCATGTTTTTTTCTAGTTTTATCTTAATAGAAAGGAGTATAATCTATTTGATATACTATTTTTATGCTTATAAATTATAAGCCTCATTGATATCATAACTTAAAAGGTTAATCTTATGCATATTCACATTTCAAACCTCTGTTTTATAAAGGTTTGGTTAATAATTATTTAATAGATATTGAAATTGGGATTCATCCAGTTTGAAAAATTTGCCCAAGGTTTCAGCTGTAGTGAGTAACGAAACTATTTTATATGTTACTCAATCATGAATGTTTACATTTTAAATATTTGTCTTTGTAGCAGGGAATACATTTTGCAAATATTAAGTCCATAACTGTCAGCAGTGGTAGATGAAATAGAGGAAGGAGGAAGTGGACCCTTATTAGTTGCTAGGAAATTTATGCAAAGAAGAAGCCTGAGGACAGTCAGTTGGTCAGAGTCCTGATTTCTGCCTCCCGTACTTTGGTCTGGAGAGGGCCAGTGTGCTAGGCTGAAAAGGTCACAGAACCCACAGTCTCCTTGCCCCTCTCTGCATTCGAAACTCGGGAGGCTGCTCTGTGTCCATCAGGAGCAGCTACATCAAAGTAATCTAGGAGTGCAGTGTGCGTAAGCACGGGAAGTCTACACGTTGAAGTTACCCAGGACACCTCAGTGCTTATGTGTTAGTACTGGACCTCAGAGTTCCCTCAGTTCTCTGGAGGAAGGTAAAGGTGGGTGGTCAGGGACCTCAAAAGGGTCTGAACTGCAAAGAGGCAAGGTGACCTTACACGCACGGGCTGTCAGAATAGCAGCCACAGCACTGGATGCAGGAGGCACTGGAAAATTAAGGAGTTCTATAGAATATGAATGAGCTCAATTGAGAGTCAGCCAGAGCGGGTTTTTGGGTCTTGGCCAAACTGAAAGAAACCAGCTGGCAAATGACTTCAATAGCGCATGCTAGCAGGTGAAGAGAAGCCTGACGGTGGTCAAGAAAGGGAACATTGATACCCTCTGACCCTTTCCTCTATCAGGACGTAATGGAGACCACAACCCTCTAGAGAGTACTTGGAGAGGAACAGGGAGGGGTAGAAAAGAAGACTTATGATTCTTGGATTGTACCAACTTTCTAACTGAATAGGGTTAGAGTAATTTTTCCTCCTACTGACCAATTACTGAGGGCTTTTGATGAAGATTTGATAAATAACTGAAAAAGAAAGGAGCTATACTTTCAGTCCATGTATGGCCTACAACGTGAGTTACATTGCAGCCCACCCACTTTGCACTTTAAATATTTTTATATTTTGTGATTTTCATACAAAAGCATGATTTTGAGAAGTGGGGTCTGTTGTTTTAGTGCCTAACCAAATCATGCTTTCAAGTGATGACTTACTGTATTGATGGCTAACATTGGTCCAGTGGAGAAAGATCTGAAGAGTAGGGGATAGGACCAGCCCTGCAGCACAGCCATTAAGTGCTGTGTATAGAAAGCCAGATTCCCACATAGCCGGTGGTGGTTCAAATCCTAGCTCTGGCAACTTGAAAAACACACCAGGTACATGTGCATATATACCCAAATCCTAACAAGATGGAGAAAGGGAGGAAAAGGGATCATGGTAAGACCATACCCCATGGAGGAAGGTGCTGATTCACCACCCTTCTCACCGTCTCCCTCTGGTAAGCACATGAACCCTATGGCAATTAAAAATAAGAGGAGTGGAGAGTAAATGAATTAACCGCAATAATTTCTTATGGTTGGGAGATATCTTAAGGAATAGAAAGGTAGCATTTACCAGGACAGTCAAAGCAAAGATATAAGGAAGAGATTGACTCATACTCTCAAGAAAGGTGTAATTAAGACTTACGGTTCTGCAGAGTCTGAGTCATTGGCAGAAAACAGGACGAGGAGTAGCAAGAAACATAAATGAGGAAATCTGTCTTTCCCCATAGTGAGGGGCCGATCTCAGGGACCGTATTGTGTCAACTCCCGACCCTCAGCCTGGTTCCTGAGAGTCCAAGTTTCCTAGGCTTTGGACAGCTGCTATTTGCATACAAGCCCTGTCTGAAGGACTCTGGAAAGAGTTCAGAATTGAGCACACGAATCTCCAAAAGGGTCATTGCTCTTAGTGACAGCCCCATTATTCTCAAGGCTAAATTTTGATAGGCTCTGAGACATTTCTGGAGAATGAAATTTGCATGTGAGTTAAAATTAACTTTGACAGCAAATCTCCCGATAAGGAACCTTCAATTTATCTTTCTCCATTTCCTTCAAAATTCTTATAGACACGTGACATAGGAAGCTGTGTTGAAGGTGGTGAGACATGTCACTGTGCTAGCATCTCATTCAATAAAGATTCATTTTTGGGCATCAATGAGACATAACTTTAGGAGGATTTCTTGAAAATGGAGATTGAACGGACCTGGAAGAAAATAATTCAAAAGATGGGCCTTTGGTAAGGGGAGGAAGAAAGAGATGTTAGAAAGGCATTATCAAAGATCACCTTGGCTTATTTTCTAGCATTGCTGTGATTATGCTCTAAATGTACCTATCTTTCTTTCTTCGCTACTCCATGGATACTCTAAGGGTTGAATCCTGTAAGCCATGTTGTTCACTTTCTTCAGGAAATATTTTCTAGAGCTATTCTGGTTATGACATTCAGGATCCGTGCTCTCATAAAACTTGAAAACTTGGTGATGATCACAGACAAACTAACATAGACTCGATGCCATCTCTGGAGCTGCAGTGTCTGCCACATTCTGGTCTTCTTGCTTCTCATTTGTGAACTTTCTTTCTCCATATTTGAGCCTAACTATCTCTTTTTTTAAAAAAAGAATTATTTTATTTAACTTTACATATGTATGTATGTATGTATTTATGTATGTATTTTCATTTGAACAGAGAAGGACAGAGTCAAAGAGGAAGAGAGAGAGAGAGAGAAAGAAAGTGAAAAAGTAAGCTGCCAGGTCTGGGACTCGAATTGCAGTTGACCATGTGGGAGTCCAGCGCCCTTAGCCACCATGTCACCTGTCAGCCCCCTATCTCTCTGACGGGGAGCCTGTCCCTGACCGTGCGTTTTAAAGTAGATGCCCTTCCGTTAGTCCTTATTTCAGAACTTTGTTTCTTTTATCATATTAATATAGAATAAAATAATTTATTTTAAATTATGAAATGTTTCATATATGAACTTACAAATATAAAGAACGTAAAAAACACTTGTACCTAACGCCTGTCCAATTAAACAAAAGTAAAAAATGTTCACATTTGTTTATGATTATTCCTTTTGTTTTATATCTTTATCTTATTTTTATCAAAATAATAATTATAAATACTTGTGGAGTACAATGTAGTTTTTTCAGTTTAAGAATACAGTGTCTTGGGGTTGGCAGGTGGCATGGTGGTTAAGGGCACTGGATCCCAGATGGCCAACCGTACTTGAGTCCTGGACCTGGCGGCTTGTTTTCTCACTTTCCATCTCTCTCTCTCTCTTTGTCCCTCTCTGGTCAAATTAAAAATAAATAAAGTTAAATAAAATAATTCTTTTTAAAAAAGAATACAAGGTTTAGTGATTAAATCAGTGCAATTAGTATATCCATTTCAATCATTTGTTGTTATTTTAAGTCGGGAACATCTAAAATTGTCTTTTCAAGTTATTCTGAGACATACAGACATACTGCCTCCCTATCCTTTCCAGCCTCTAAAAGTCATTCTAAACTCGCTGCTTTGTTTCTTTGTTTGTTTGTGTTAAAATTTGCTATAGGGTGCAGAGAGAGAGAGAGAGAGAGAGAGAGGGAAAAAGTAAGAAAGCACTTCCCGGGGGGATGACCACGCCACAATCCCCTCACTTTCATTCTCCTCTTGGAATTTTGAGCATGCATGCACACATGCCTAGCATGTTTTTCAAGCTGCTGGGTCCAGGACTCAAACCATACAATCAACCATGTGAGATCTAGCCACCTTAACCAGCATGTCACCTGACTTGCCTAACTCTCTACTTCTACTAGATCATTCTTCCATTCTTCTCAATTTCCACATATGAATGAGAACATGTGGCATTTCTCTTTCTGAACCTGGTTTATTATTTTACTTACCATTTTCTCCAGGCTTGCCCACACTTCAGAACATTGATATGGGAAAAAAGTTTTTGAATGAAATCTCAAAGGCACAGGCAATAAGAGAAAAAACCAGTCAGCCAGTGGCATGGTGGTTAAGGTAACTGGATCCTACATGGTAGACTGTGTGGTTCAAGTCCCAGATTCACTGACCTGAAAAACATGCTGGGCGTGTGTACCTGTGTGCCCAAAATATTGAATGGAGAATGGAGGAGAAGGGGTTACGGCATGGTCATTTCCCCTGAGGGGTGATTTCTCACTTTCTTTCTCTCTCTCTGTCTATTCCTCTCTGGGAAGCTCATGTGCCCTATGGCATAAACTAAAAGAATACACACACACACACACGTGATTATATCAAACTAAAAGCACCTGCACAGCAAAGGAAACAATCACTACAATTAAAACACAATCTATAGAATGGAAAAAAAATATTTGCAAGCTATACATTCAATAAGGGATTAATACCGAGAACATACAAGGAACTCAAATAACTCAGCAGCAAACAAATCATACAATTAAAAACATGCACACTATCTGAATAAATAGTTCTCAAAAGAGGACTTACAAATGACCAACAACCATGAAGAATATGTTCAGCATTGCTAATCATTAAGGAAATTAAAATCAAAACTACAATGAGATAGCATCTCAACTGAATGAGAATGACTATAATTAAAAAGACAAAAAAAGAACCAACGCTGAAGAAGATGTGGAGGAAGAGGACCTCTTTTATACTTTTGGTGTGGGTGTAAATTAGTACAATCCTTATGGAAAAAGATATGAAGGAATGTCAAAACACTAGCACTAGAACCTGAGGTGATCCAGCAATCCCACTAGTAGGCATATATCCAAAAGAAAGAAAATCAGTATGTAGTGAATACCTCTGCACCCCAATGTTTATTATAGGAGATAATTTCTTCTTGAGAAATGAAGCATGTGGGACCAACAGTTAGCGTAATGGCTATGTTGCTGGACTCCCATGTAGCCTACCACGGTTTGAGTCCTGGACCTGATGCTTAAACTCACACTGGGCACGTGTGTGTGCGTGCCCAAGATCCCAAGAGGAGAACGGAGGAGAAGGGATTGCGGTGTGGCCATCCCCCCGGGGGGTGATTTCTCGCTTTCTGTCTCTCTGTCTCTCTCTGTCTTTCTGGCAAGCAGACACACCCTATAGCAAAAGCCTCTCCAAAAAAAAAAAAAAAAAGAAATGATGCCTGGAAAATACGATCAAAGTCTTTGTGATATTTTCCAGTATTACTTCCCTCCACATATTGTGTAATTGGTAGGTTGATGTGTAGCCTTAAAGTCATGTTTTTATATTTTTACTGCATGTACAAGGGAACTTCAAAAAGTTAATGGAAAAATAGAGTTTAAGTAAAAATGATGATAGGATTGTATTTCCAAATTATTTGGGGGTTAGGGCCACTTAGGGATCATCTAGGAGAGTGCACTTATTGTCTACCATATAGTTCCAGACTTACTGATGTTACTTGTTTTGTCAGATGTTGATGTAAATAATTTCTGTCCAGCAGAACAGATAACCCAAAATTTTGTGCATTATTTTACATCTACCAGTATCATATCTAACACTATTTTTCTATCAGAATTTGTGTTAAATTATCTGTAAATATCTTAGCTTTTTGAGTGCTTTTAAAATTGATGGTAACATCTTACTGGTTACTTCATTAATTAACGAGCTAAATGATGTCTTTGACATGTGTTCTTTTTATACTTTCTTTTTTTTTTCTTTTTATTTTTTTGGAGAGGTTTTGCTATAGGGCATGTGCACTTGCCAGAAAGACAGAGACGGACACAGAGAGATAGAAAGTGAGAAATCACCCCCCAGGCGGAATGGCCATGCCGCAATCCCTTCTCCTCCATTCCCCTTTCAGGATCTTGGGCATGCACAGACATGTGCCCGGCGTGAGTTTGAGCCACTGGGTCTGGGACTTGAACCACAGTCAATACATGGGAGTCCAGTGACTTAGCCATTATGCCAACTTCTGGCCCCTCTTTGTATACTTTCTTATGAGCTGTGGTTTTAGTTGTTTAAGAATTATATTCTAACAAATAATGTGCGAAAATAGCCAAATTAGTTGATACTCATCTATGAGTCTCAGAATAAATTATAAAATATTATATAGAAAACGTCTCCTTGAATTTGCACAATTTGACAAAGACATTCATTTTTATTTTTAATCCTTTTTTTCAGGCACAACGTTTTCTGTTTGCTTGTGTTTAAAGCAGTAAAAGAAACTGAATCCTACAAGCTGTAGTGACCGAAATACTTTAAAATGATCACACTGCTGGTACACGTCATTTATGAAATTCTGCACCTTACGTACTAATTGTAATACAGTTACCCTCCCTACTTGGCTGGGGGAGGAACAACTCTGGAAGATAATTTTCACCGAAATCCAACCAAACTTCGTGAAGTGGACTGTGACCAGATTACAAATGATATGAAACATAGCATTTAAACATTTGGCCATCAGCTGAAGAAAATGGTCTGACTATACAATTTTTTGAAATTTTTGTAAGGTAATATATTCTACCCTCATATGGTCCTGAGAATTAAAGCATAATGAACAGGAAAGAAGAGGAAAAGATTCAACTAGGTGTTAAGGCAGAACCTCTTACCAGAAGTAGAATATACAATATACACTAAATATCAAGTGCAGAATTTCATAGGGCCAACAAGATAACAGCTTATAATTTTCACTTACACAGGTGAAGTGGGTTTTGCAATTACCAGTTACATTAAATGCACCAAATAAAGATCCTAAAATTGGTAGTATAAGCCACTACCTTAAGTTTTCCAAGCTGCCATTGTATAATTTAAAAATGGTTTTCTTAAATTTATTTTTTAAACGTAACCTGTGGAAAGTGTTAAAATGGGTGTAATAGCTCAATAAAATAAGTATTCCAGATTTGGGGAGGGATGAAGAGGGAGATATTTAGACCCCTTCACCAGAAT